AGTTTCTGAAGTCAGTGATGATTTGGGGTGCCGTGACGTCTGCTGGTGTTGGTCCATTGTGTTTTATCAAGTCTAAAGTCAATGCAGCCAGCCATCTACCTGGAGAGTTTGGATCACTTTATGCTTCCATCTGCTGACAGGCTTTATGGAGATGCTGATTTCCTTTTCCAGCAGGACTTTAGCACCTGCCCACAGTGCCAAAACCACTTCCAAGTGGTTTGCTGACCATGATATTACTGTGCTTGATTGGCCAGCCAACATGCCTGACCTGAACCCCATATGGAATCTATGGGAGATTCTCAAGAGAAAGATGAAAAACTGTCGATCCCATGCCTGACCTGAACCCCATATGGAATCTATGGGATATTCTCAAGAGAAAGATGAAAAACGGTCGATCCAACAATACAGACGAGCTGAAGGCTCAATAGTGCCTCAGCAGTGCCACAGGCTGATCGCTTCCATGCCACACCTCACTGATGCTGTCATTTGTGCTAAAGGAGCCCCGACCAAGTATTGAGTGCATAAATGAACATACTTTAAAGAACTTGAACTTTTCTGTTTTGCAAATCCTTTTTTTTGATTGATCTTAGGAAATATTCTGATATTTTGAGATACTGGATTTTTGACTTTCATGAGCTGTAAGCTCTAATCATCAAAATTAAAACAAAAAAAAGTTTGAAATGTTTTACTTTACATGTAATGAATCTATATGAATGGTTCACTTTTTGAAATAAGTTACAAAAAAAAAATATCACGATATTCTAATTTTTTGAGATGCACCTGTATGTCCAAATATTATTTGGGAAATATTTAGTTTCAATTAAGTTACATTGTTAAGTTTTTCATACTTATTATAGGACTCTTAGTTGAATGTTTTTTCCCTTATTTTAATGTAATTTTTTATTTATTTAAAATATGTTTATGCTATTTTTTCTCAAAACATTTCCATGGACCCTAGCACTCAGCTGGACCCCAGTTTGAAACTTCTAACTTGTCTGGTTTGACTGTTCCCTTAAAGTATATATAATTTGTATAAAATGTTTGCTAGCTAACCATCATGGTGATTTGACAGCACTTTCAGGTTGGAAGTTGTAGAGCAGGGAGAATGACAGAATTTGGTGTATTCAGCACAATATGGGGAAGAGAGAAATGTTTACTGATTATTATATTACTCAATATTTATCCTTGTATTAGTTGTCATGCAGTGCATTAAATCTTGTAGCCCTTTTTGGTTTTATAGCTTTTTTTGATGACCTGCAACTACACCACCTGTGAAAAGTTCATAAACTTGTCTGAATTTGTTTTTCATGATATTAAACATGTTTAATTTATGCTAAAATGACTGTAATAGTCATATTTTTAGACAAATATTCAATGAAGTTACCAATTTTATTAGTCACACTCATAATCATACTCAGAACAACTTGTAGTGAAATGCTTTTAACGGAATAGATTTAACATGGGTATAAAGATCATAGAAAAATACATTTATTATTTGAACATAAATTTAAAAAAAACAAAGAAAAGAGCATAAACAAGTACATAAAGAAACAGAAAATATTAGAAAAAATAAAATAGAACATCCAAATAGTTTTATGCAGTGTAGGAAATTTAAGGTATATATGTGCAAAACTGCAAATGCAAAATCATTATTTCATTAATAAGTTAGAGTTCCTGGTTTTCACCACTGAACAGTGTCCATGTTGG